GGCAAAACATTATTTTAATTTTTGTCATGTTTAATTTGAGGTAATATTCAGTGGATATCTGGAAATCTTACAAAAATCAGTAGAGAAGCTGGGCTGCAAGTACGTAGTTGAAACTTCAGGGCAGGAATCAGCACACCATGGCTAGTGGGCCTAATATGGCTCACCATATGTTTTCATACAACTCATGAGCTAAGAATGGTTTTTGGCTTTCATATTTTTAAATGGCTGAAAAAAAATCAAATTAAGAATATATTTCATGATGCCTAAAAATTATATGAAATTCAAATTTCAGTTTCCATAAAGTTTTACTAAACACAGCCATGCTCATTTGTTTATAGACTGTCTATTTCTGCTTTCATGCTACAACAGCAGAGATGAGTAGTTGCAACAGATACCATATGACCTGTGAAGCCTAAAATATTGATTATCTGGACATTTAAAGAAAAAGTTTGCTGAACCCTACTTTAGAAGATTATGAAACTGCATCAAGAGAGCTTGTTTTAGAGTGAAAAATCACAGAGGACAGAACATATTTGGTAATGGAAGCCTTCCATTCAGATATTTTAAGGTTGCAATCAGAAAAATTTGGTTATAAAAACATCTTATGTCTTTTTGTTATGTAAGGATGGCCAAAAAGCAGGGAAATTCTATATAAGTTCATATGTTTTTGATCATTACCAAAGTATTTATGAATAATCTTATTCTACTTTTACTTTGGAGATTTAAAACACTTATTTATACTTCCCTTTTCATATTTTTATTGTAATCTTCTACTACACCTCATAAAAATCACATTAATAATTGAGCCCTTGGAATAAATATCAATTTTTTAAAATGCTAAATTGACAAACCAACATGATTTTTTTCCTTCAGACTTCTACATACACTTAGTCACATTGCAACCACATCCAAAAGCTCTTCATTATAGAGTACAATTCCATCTCAAAGGCACCCCCAAATTAAACATAAAACCAAAACCTGATTCTTTTAAATATTAATACAATTGATAGACCACTAACCTAAGGGAAAAAAGAGAGAAGAAACAAATGACCAATATCAGAAATGAAACAGAAAAAATCACTTCAGACCTTCAGACATTAAAGAGATAAGATGGAAATAGTACCAAAATTTTCAAGTCCATAGATTCTACAATATAGATGAAATGGATAAATTCCTTGAAAAACACAAACTACACAGCTGTCACTCAAGAAGGAATAACCTGAATAATCCTTTATCTATTAAAGAAATTCACAGAAAGAAAATCCCATGTCCGCATGTCTCTTTACTGGTTAATTCTATTAATTAAGTAGAAATAACAGCAATTCTACACAAAACCTTCCAGAATAACTGAGGAAGAGAGAATGCTTCCCAACTCACTCTATGAGAACATAATTACTCTAATAATAAAGTCAGATCAAGACAATAGAAAAAACTATAAACCAATAATGCCTCATAAACACAGACATAAAAATACTCAACAATAATCAGTTAATCAAATCTAGTAATATATATAAAAANTATGAGAACATAATTACTCTAATAATAAAGTCAGATCAAGACAATAGAAAAAACTATAAACCAATAATGCCTCATAAACACAGACATAAAAATACTCAACAATAATCAGTTAATCAAATCTAGTAATATATATAAAAAAGCACTATATCATGACAAAATGGTGTTTAACGCCTGAATGCAAGATTGCTTCAACATTCAAAAGCCAATTAATGTAATTCACTTTATCAACAGTTTAAAGAAGAAAAATCCATACAATCATTTCAGTAATAAATGCAAAAAAGGAATTTGACAAAATCTGACATCCATTCATGATAAAAAGTCTCAGCAAACGAGAAATAGAACAAAACCTCCTAAAACTGATAGAGAGTATCTAAAAAAATCCCCCTACTGTTAACATCATACTTAATAGTGAAAAACATTGCTTTCCTTCTAAGATCACTATGGGATGCCCACTCACATCACTCCTTTTCAACATCATACTAGAGGGACTACCCAGTGCAATAAGGCAAGAAAAAGAAATTAAAAGGATACATATTACAAAAGAAGAAATAAACCTTTCTATTTGCAATAACATAACTATCTACGTAAAAGTCCCTAAGAATCTACAAAAAAATCACTACAACTAAGAAGTGATTTCAGCAAGGTCACAGGACATAATGTCAATGTACAAAAATCAATTGAATTTCTATACACTATTAATCAACAAAAAGAAACTGATATTTTTTTAAAACTACCATTTATAATGGTAAAACAAAATTGAACAAAAAAATGGTAAAACACTGAGGCATAAATCTAACAAAATGTGTAAAATATGTATGCTGAAAACTACAAAATGATGAAAAAAATCAAGAAAGGCCTAAATATATGGATATGGAGAGTTATACCATGTTCATAGATTGGAAAATCCAATATGGTTAATATATTGATTCCTGCAAATAGATTCAGTGCAGTCCCAATCTAGATTCAGGATTTTTTTAAAAAAAGAAATAGACATGGAAAGGTAAAGAATACAGAATAGCCACAATAATTTTGAAAAAGAATAACAATGTTGGAGGCTTCACACTGCCTGATTTTGAGACTTACCATAAAGCTATAGTAATCAAGAGAAAGAGGTATTGGTGAAAGCACAGACACATAGATTAATGGAACAGAAGACAGAGCTCAGAAATAAAACTACACATACATGGTGCCAATTGATTTTCAACAAAGGTGCAAAAGCAATTTCAATAAGGTGCAAAGGCAATTCAGTAGAGAAAGGAGTCTTTTCAACAAATGGTGCTGAAATATTTGGATATCTATATTCAAAAACATGAATCTTGACCCACACCTTTCATCATATACAAAATTAATTCAAAACGAAGTATCATAGACTAAAACAACAACAAAAAAAGGTCCATAAAAATTCTTGAAGAAAACATAGAAAGAAACCTTGTGAACTTGAGTTAGACAAAGATTTCCTAAATACAACACTAA